GTCTGTTCCGTGGTCGAAGCACAGATAGATACAGCTTGCCTTGCAATGACAGTGTTTGCGCTTCTGGAAATGCGGTGAGAAGCTGCGGTCCAGCTCTACCTTAGGTGTTTGCTAGTATCTAATTTTTGGCATCATGGTTAGATATTTATGTCACACTCCGAATTCAGGAGACGATCAGAGTCAAACACCCAAGCCGTTCAATAGCTTACTCCATATTTTTCGGATTGAACTCGATCTATCTGAAGAGTAAATCTTAAGAACATTTTTTGTGACTGTTATGAATTGTTTCCAGAAAGTGAATATATTATCATAAGCGAAATGTCGGGAAAAATTCTTTTGAAATGTACTTACAGATGCTCCTCATACCGTGATGCTGAGCACAGTAAGCATCCATATGATAGTTATGTTGCATTAAACTCATCGTAATTTGAAAATATCATAAGTAGAATATGAACATAATGCGATAAAGAAATAAGTAAACAAATAAACGCTGTTATGGTTAAGTAAACGAACAATTATTGTAATTGGAAAGCTCACATTAATTGCTTTAAGATGATGCTGAGGAGGAGGCTATGGCGACAGGGTCATCAATTTCTTTTCATGATTCGTGTTCGCAGTCATTGCTCGTAGAAGGTACTGGATTACCGACATTTGTTGATAGTTCAGGAACAGGTGCATGTTTCTTCAGGAAGATACAAAGTTTTGACTTGACAGTTTGGTTCTTCTTTTCATTATAAGTTTCTTTAGCTTGTTAGCTAAAAGCATGTTGTATTTGTTTTAAAAATTTTGTAAATCACCTATGATTATGACCATAACGTCACCGAATGATACGTTGCTAAACACTATGTGAGATGTTGACCAGCAATCGCTATAAGGTCTGAGGGCACACTGCTAACGAACGATCGTAAAGCAAGGAACATCTGCATGACATTATTTTGCTCGGTAATATTATATTACTCACAATTATGCGTCTTTCCACTAGCGAATTTGTTTGGTGTTTCATATTGGATACCAACTGATAATTTGACTAAACAGCTTAGGTCTTCGACGCAAGGGGACTATGTTATTGCGTTAGAAAGGCGACCAGTTAGAATGTTAAATTATTAGCTCAAGGAATAATATTAGTATTGAAGTTGTTTGTTGTTTTCGTTGTTAATTTTTTATGCTGAGGTATTTAAATATGATGATGGCATCTATGCTCGAAGTCGAAGTTTCCGATTTAAGAAGAAAGGACAGTGTTTTGCAGCGTCCGAAGCCGTTTGTATTGAAAAGGAAGTTTACTAGTCAAGCATTGCCGTATTATTAGCAGAGCCAATCATAGATGACTAGTGAGGTTTACATATACATTTTTCCAGTCGAAACTCAGAATCACACTATCCTTGCTCTTGTTCTACTAGGTTCTACTAAAATCAAAGGGGCGATACGTTTTTGGCTTAGTAAATAGGCTATCAAAAGCTGAAAAGTTATCAATAGAGACGGAATTGGAAAGCTCCTATCTGATAAGTGTCCCGGAACACAAAGGTTATATCTTGTCTATACAATTCTTTTTTCAAAAAGAAGCCATGATTTCTGTATAAGTGAAATTTAAAAAGCGTAGTTGGTTCTCCGCCTAGACGAGTACACATATTCATCTGCAGTACCGTGTCATGTACTACAGGGTGGTATAATGTTATGCACAGGTGCTGAATGCGATTTAATGGGAAAATGACATTACGGCATTGTGTATATTATAGAGTAGAATGTGAAATTTTATTTAATGTGGTGTTAAAGTAAAAATATCAATAATTTCAACAAGGAAAAACTTGAAAAATCAGAAAAAGCTGATTATGATAAGATACCCATGAATCATACAGAACATACGGAGTTGAAAACAGTCATCAATAACAGCTATTTGAACGATAAAGATCAGACGAGGGGTCGAAAAATTTACTCAGATGATTTATTTGTACTTAGTAGGAGGAATATTTAAGTGTATAAGAAAGTTTCGTTAGTGAAATCTTAACGAATGAATGAGCCACTTGAGAAATGAACATAGAAGTGTACGAGTCGTCAGATGGATCAGTTGGCTGACTGGTGAATGGATGAATGAATGAACGAGTAATTAAGAAATCTTGGACTCCATTTTGATTGTTTTTCGAAAGTATAAAATAATAGCAATCTAAATAAAAGGAAATCTTGGCTGCATGTTTGCTAGGCAGAATTCTTAAAAGAGTAAAAAATGTCAAAGAAAGCATTGATTCATGAATGCAGAAATGAATGATAGAATACTTGGAGTATTCAATTGGTTGGTGAATGGACGAAAGCTTTGATTGTTACTAAATGAGTGACTGTTTGCACAGAAGTTGTTCGACATTTAAATGAAATGAAGCCATAAAAGCTTTCGTCATTCAGCTCTTAATGAATAAATAAATGATTAATTTAAATGATTTATCATTGAAAACGGTTTCGATTTATAGCAAACTACTAAGTTCTAACAGTCTGATGAAAAAAGATTTACTCCCAAAACAGACTCCTATTTATGCCGACTTCTTCCGTTGACAGAGCGTCGGAGTCACTCGAATTTTTCCTTTTGAGGTTGACAAATTAGCACTTCTACGCGGAAAGGAAACAAAAACCTACACTACACTTTTCAAATAGTTGTAAACTCATCTTTATCTGCCATGACCTCTTTTCCTTTAGGGTCGCGGAGGCAGACTCGTAGACAGTGCTTCCAACGTTCCCGATTCTGTTCCGCAGTCTGAGCTTCGGCAGAAGACAGCTGGAGTCTGGAACATACTATTTCCATATAATTGCACACGTTTAATCTTGGCCGTCCCCTTCCGCTAGTGGGTTGAGCAAGAAACATTTTCTTAGACTTCTTTTCTGGAGGCATTCGTAACGCGCTCAAACCGTTGTAGCTGTAACTTCTCAATCTGAAGAAGCAGAAGCTGTACACCAAAGCTTTCCCAGATGTCTGTATTCCGAACTATGTCGGGACGCGTAAGGCCAGCGATCCGTCTCAAAAACACATCTAAGCAGCTTGTACCCGGGTACGAAGCTTTTCAGACATGTCCCACTAGTCATGACTGTATGTAATTATGGGGATGAAGAACGACTTAATTTTCACACTGAGTTCTGCTTTACTGACAGTTAATCGGGCTAGTTCACGCTGAACGCCACTGGTTACTCCAATTCGCGACCCGCAATCTCTTTCTCAAATTTTCCATCACTGGCAAATATTACTTTGTGGTCATTGAACCTCTCCGTCAGATCCGCTACTGTCTTTTAATCTGAAAAGAGCAGTGGGCAGGGGAACGAGAAAGCACTAGGAGATGCTTTCGCATGTATGCTGTCTACATCACACTCGGATATGAAGCTTTCGGAAGAGCGCTGAGATCAGTTTTAGAAGATGCCTATAAAGCAATATATCGTCTGCAGACAGCAACCTTCTCGTCTCTGGCTGTAAACTCTGCATTAAAAAATAAGGCACTACTAGCTGATGCCCAGGAAATGGAGATCAGGGCCCCACCAATTTCTTCATGACCCCATCCATAATGTGAAATGAGGATCGTCATTCCAGTGGTTTCAAAGCTTCATTTTCTGTTTACTAACTGATAGGCGAAATTTTTGAACGCGTAATAAAGTTCCCTTGTTATACGTAATCGCATATCTGATGAACAGTAAACTAGTGATTGAACAGAAGAAATCAGTGGATGAATACACGAGGTTTTTGATACTATCCAATGAGTAATTGTTGATAACTGATCATAATTGAGTAAATGATGTCTTCGCAATGTAAAGTGGTAAAATTTTGCTCTGAGTTGATGTCTGCCGCAAGATAGAAACGTCTTGACATTTTGCCGATTCTTGAACTTTTCAAATACACACTCAGTCTTCTAACGATTCTGAAGCATTACCTTCTGCTGTACACGTTCACCCGACCGTTGCTGTATTCGAAGGCTATTAATTTTAAATTAGTGGTGCTTTAAATATCCAGCTGCACCGTATTGTTATGCTGCTGAAGGACAGAATTTGTCCTCTGAATTGTCAGTGCTTTTGTGACTAAATGATTCTGTTTGTTTCACTCGAAAGTTTACTATCTGTGGTAGTTGATATGATTTGCAGAATGCAACATTGAAAAATTTGTGCTATTCCCTAGTTTCCATGGGCCCTCTCAGTTCATGAAAATCTATTATCCAGTTCACGCGGGAGATTTGCGTTTCTGTGATCGTGTAACAATAATTTTGAAGCTAACTTAGAAAGATATTACAGTACGTGAGTGGGCCGTGAGTTATTAACCTGAAGAGTTGATGCATTGTTGCCGTTAGTTGGACCTTTAGTTTTATGTTTCCGCCACTCGAACCGTTGTTACTTTAGGATATTTCAGTATTACCTGCTGTCGCTAACCAGGTAAAGGTAAACGATGTGCTGCTAAGTAAAGGTTTTGCCCATCAGCAGCGTTGCGTGAGTCAGATATGTACCGAAGGCATGAGCTATACTTTTTGCTACTTTTTAATTACTATTAACTATACGAACGAGTGGTAACGCTTTCATGTTTTTCTTTCTCAGACAGCTGGTTGAATCGATTTTCTTCGTATCTTGTATCTAGAGATCAGCTGCTGCGAAACTTTCGGTTATTTTATCTAATTTATCGTACGATACTATAAATAAAGCGTACATCGTCCTTCGCCATTGTTTAAAGCATAGAAAATTTTGTAATTTTC